CCCAAAATGGCGTCCCCCTCCTCACCAGGGAAGAAAGGGTGAGTGAAGATCTACATCAGAAACAAGAGGGGACAAGAATAATGCTGTACATTGGGACTTGTTGGCCCTGTGGATCCTGCCACCTGAGGTGGTTGCCTCATCTTGGCTCATGGGTGGTCCGGCCTTGACTGTGCCCTTGGGTCCACGCATCATTGCCTTCCTTTTCTTCTCCATATACTGAATGATAGGAGGTTTAGAAATGTTGTGCAGTAGTTCTTTCAGACCAGCACTGAAACTCAGACTCCTTTTAAAACAAAAACAAAAAGGAGCCAGACCTCTACTACAGATGGAGGAAGACTCCACCTGGATGCAATAAAACAGGCAAGAGCAGGGAAATGTACTGAAAGCAAATAATGGATCCATAGTTTCCTTCTTGCCTGTAATTTAACATGTCGAGAAAATGTCTGCTGAGCAAACTACAGAATTCTCCCATGTGCCTTTGCAATCACTTTTGGTTCTCTTTGCTGCATGAGTTATGGGCATGCATCTGGTGTGTCACATTAGTATTTATTTCAGCACAAACGAACATGGGCACAGGAGTCTCTAAAATAATAAGAGATATATCATATGTGGGAGTTAAAGGTCAGGAACAACCAAAAGGGATTAGATTTGACTAAGCGTGGGGAAAAGTCCATATTATTGCACTCTTAGTGTTAAAAATTAAAAGGAGAACTAGCTGCAATGTTATTTGGCTTCTGCTATTCCCATTTGTGCACAAACCTCAGGAACCTAGCTCATGCGCCTCACCATTCATAGCAGTTGTTTGCTCTCCTGTCTGCCCTCAGAGGCTATGTAAGGAGGCAGGATAAATTCTGTTCAGTTCACATTTAAAGGTGATTGTAGTTTCTGGAACAACACAGGAACTGAAACACAGGCATCCTAAAAAATTTGTACTCCTCTGAATTTTGCAATGCAGTTCTCCAGCAAAATAGTGTGTACAAAAATGTATATACTAGGGTAAGGTGTACATAAAGATGCAGATATCTGTGAAAACAACATACAAAATTTCATTGTAGTAGCTAAAATTGCAGTGCAAAATTGTGTACTTCGGGCAAAATTCATACCAAAAAGGTATATATTAGGAGAAATTTGCACTAAAATGCTGATGAATTTTCATGGGATTTTTTTTTTAATGCAAATGATGTGGAGAGCTGAACTTAAGAATGGAAAATCGAGAAACTGAGAGGAAATGAAATTGACAGATCCACTCATTTCTACCTCTGCAATACAGAGGTCACCATTACAGCTTACCTACTATTTCAGCCGTTTGAAAAGTTGCATATACAGTGGTACCTCGGGTTACATACGCTTCAGGTTACATACGCTTCAGGTTACAGACTCTACTAACCTAGAAATATTACCTCGGGTTAAGAACTTTGCTTCAGGATGAGAACAGAAATCGTGCTCTGGCGGCGCAGTGGCAGTGGGAGACCCCATTAGCTAAAGTGGTGCTTCAGGTTAAGAACAGTTTCAGGTTAAGAACGGACCTCCGGAACGAATTAAGTACTTAACCCGAGTTAAGTACTTAAGTACTACTGTATAAAGAGGCTGACTCCATTAGAACAAAGCTCTGTTTTAACAAGTCGTTTTGATGCAAACTTTTCCATGCTAATGGAGCAAGTTGCTCAAACCTGGTATGGGATTTGAAGCAGCCTGATTCAGGTCTCAACCAAAGTGCATACACAGTTCTTAGTTTCACATTAATTTCATGATGAATGACTACAGTGGTGCCTCGCAAGACGAAATTAATCCGTTCCGCAAGAGTCTTCGTCTAGCGGTTTTTTCGTCTTGCGAAGCAAGCCCATTGACGGATTAGCGCTATTAGCGCTATCAGCTGTTTAGCGGCTATTAAAGGCTTAAAGGCTTAGGGATTAGCTGCTAAAAGGCTATTAAAGGCTATTAAAGGCTTAGCAGATTAGATAAAGGGGGAAAGCGAAAAAAATTTCTATTCTCGCAAGGTATTTTCGTCTTGCGAAGCAAGCCCATAGGGGAATTCGTCCTGCGAAGCAACTTCAAAACGGAAAACCCTTTCGTCTAGCGGTTTTTCCGTCTTGCGAGGCATTCGTCTTGCGGGGCACCACTGTATATAAATATATAAAGTTGCACTACATTAGATCAATGAAGGGTATACCATGTAAATGACGCCCCACAGGATGAAGGACAACAGGACAATTAGCCCTGCTCGGACTATATGAAAATAGCCTTGTAAAGCATTCTCTCTTCAGCTTATGAGTCAGATCAATTATTCTTTTCCCAAGCACTTCCTGCTTTCCGACTCAACATGATGGCCATTGGGGGACAAGGTAGTACTCTGTAAATGAGGGACAAACATTCCTATACATCATATGAAAAATAGTTGTCCAAGTTATGAGTGATCGCTTTTTTGCAAAATACATTATTAGAATTCATGTCATGGTGAGTCACTGAGACTGATATAAATTATCTACAGTCCCTCATTTATAAATGTTTCGTTACAGACATCACTTAGGGCTTATTAAGCCATTTATATATGTCTCTACAAGGTGTTCTGCTAATGCATAGTGTATTGTTTTATTAAAGGAGTGTTTTCTATTTATCATGTCGGGGGAAATACATTCTGGTGCTATGTGAATTAATGCAAGTGGGTTATTGTTGTTTTTAATGTATGAGAGCTCAAAGAGTATTCCTTGATGTAGAGTCAAAACTCTAGAAAAATGGCAGCTGTAATAACAGGCAAGGTGGTGGCAGAGATTGGGGGCCCATATGTTGTCTGAGTGTAGTGATGATTGGATATGGAAGTCAAGCCTTCTACAGGAATCACATGCAAAAGGAGATGACACACAAACACACACATGCCTTCGTGTCCTCTCCCCATACATGCTTTCTATGTGCATCGGCTCCCCCCATGATTTAGAACATTGCACAAGCAAGTTACCACCAGCGCAGGGTTAATGTTTTCACTAGATCAGTGGTTGTGACTTGTGGCTAAGCTTCTGGAGATCTGTTGCTCACAAGATGAGGGAGCAAGTGCTATGTGTGAGGGATTCCCTTAATGTTTTTCCTACATATCAAGCCATGAAAATCTCACAGAAGAGGAAGCTTGAAAAGCATGGAAAGTCATTCAGTTGGCCTTTTCACCCAGCGCTCATCCCAGCATGCAACTCCAATAATGCAGAACCCACTTAAGAAGAACCATGTGCTTTCATTTCTGCATTCCTATACAGTGGTACCTCTGGTCACGTACTTAATTCGTTCTGGAAGTCCGTTCTTAACATGAAACTGTTCTTAACCTGAAGCACCACTTTAGCTAATGGGGCCTCCTGCTGCTGCTGCACAATTTCTGTTCTCATCCTGAAGCAAAATTCTTAACCCGAGGTACTATTTCTGGGTTAGCGGAGTCTGTAACCTGAAGCGTATGTAACCCAAGGTACTGCTGTATTATGAGAATGGTAGGGAGTACAGCCAAAATGAGGCAAGTACCCCCAGGCAGCAGATGCTAGGGTGGTGGTGGTGGTTTGCTCCATATGTTACCTCTGAATGTCCTGGGCACCTCTTTCTGTTGGAGGGCAGAGCTGCATGTGCCATATAGCTTGTCCAGCAACCCCATGCCTGCTCTCAACTGCCCTCAGCTGACATGGAGGACACTACCTCACTGCTAGCATTGAAGAAAGATTCAAATGGCAGTCCAGGCAACTTCTGGGTTCCACCTTGTCCTTTGCCATCCCTTAAAAAAATAGGGTTACATAGGTCACAAAGGTCCATGTTATTTGTCACACATCTCCCTATTCTTTCCTCTCTACAGGTGGATCTGCCAAGCTTGGTCCTCTTCCCCAGTTTATGTGGAAGCCAGAAAAGGATTTGTCTCTGAGAACACAGTCTCAGACTGTGCACAGAGAAGTGGGGGGGCAGAGGAGGATTTTGTGGTCCAGTTCTTCGTCCCATTCTGAGGATGCGCCTCCAGGTCCCATCAATGAATCACTGTATGCTGAGACCAGGACAGCTTTCTGCCTTCCCTCTGCCTCCCCTTCCTCCTCCTGTGTGTCTTTACCAGGCAGGTCCCTTTCCCGAAGCAGACTCTCCTGCAGGCCAACAAGTGTCCTGTGTGCTCGTATGTTTGCAGGGGTTTGGGAAGGGAGCAGTTAGTAATCAATTGTACCTAGCAGGGGATGATTAAGGTGTCTGAGCTGCAGTGTGTTTGTAAGCCAGCCGTCAAGACCAGTTATTTCTGATGGTGCTTGATGGGTCTTAGCTTTTCTCCTTTTCATTCTTTTTCCCTAAAGAGATTTTCCTCCATTCTGTTTGTTGTTTCAAAAGAAGATTAGGGAACAGCACATTTGGAAGGGTCAGGAGTGTGTGTGTGTGTGTGTGTGTGTGTGTGTGTGTGTTAGTTTAAAGATGACAGCTTCGTTTAATAAAAGCTGATTATCAGACCTTTGACAAATCCTGCAGAAAGAACCAAAGGATGCCCTATGCTAAGAGCAGAGCGCGCCTTTATTTTAAAAAGGTGATAAGCACAGAGTCAATCAATTTGGGGTGGTGGGTCAAGCTAAGAGCCTAGAACATGGGCTATCTAGCGTCCCCAGCCTTCTTGATTCTTTCAATAGGAAAATGCAAGAGAATACACAGACCAAAGTGTCAGATTCAGCTAATAACTCCCAGTCATCAAAGTCCATGCAAGGACTTCCACTAGAGCAACTGGGCTTTCCTCACCTCTCCTAACCCCATGCTCCCCACAAATTGGTTTGACGAGGTAGGGGGACTTCCCAGAACAGCACATGGAGATGGGGAAGAGAGGTGGGATCATTCCATCTGGCAAGCTGAAATACTCGCTCTGACGGTACGATTGCCACAGCGCTACAATAAATTCCTCCCATAAGAACACAGGAGGAAGCTATGCCACTGGTCTTTCTTGCTCAGTATTGTCCACACTGACTGGTAGCATCTCTCCAGGCTGTCAGGCTGGGATTTCTCTCAGCCGTACCTGGAGGCACCGGGGATTGAACCTGAGACCTTCTGCATCTAAAAAGCAGAGGTTCTGCCACTCAGCCACAGCCCTTCCAGAGCAATTCTGGGCTGGCTGGGGCTGATGCGAGTTATACTCCAAAATAACTGGAGGGCACCTGGTTGGGAAAGGTGGTATTAAGGCATGCACTGTTCATGTGGTTTAAGTCCCTGGCCCTGCTTGTTTTATTCCACATTATATGTGCTGGCCAGCAAAGTGTCTGATCGGAGAACGTGTCTGATTGGCATGAGCTCTGACAACAGTCACCTCCTTTCTGGGACAAAGCAGTACTATATGAAGGATGGAAATGTTGATTTGTTAGCCTCTTCCTCCCTGGAGAATAGGTCTACTGTGCTAGAAAATGAAACTTCCATGTATAGAGGTAGCATGACTGGTATTGCCCATGAACAAGAGATGGGCATCGATGTCATACCCTATTTCTGAGAAGGATAACTGTTGGAAGCATCTGGTTGGCTATTGGGGGGGGGTTCTGGGAGCGAGGTGGATGCAGCAAGGCAATTCTTACATGCTTATATCATGCCCCCCTTCCTCCTAAAGTCCAACAAGGACTTTAGATTCCTGCATTGCTGGGGATTGGACTAGATGGCGCTTCCAACCTTACCATTTGATGACTCTAAGGAAAAATTCTGAAGAAGGTGACTGCCACCTTCTACAAGGACCCCATTACCTCCCTAGCAACAAAGAACAGACTGAATTAGTAGGTCACATGGTCTCTAAAAGTCCAGTTTGGGTTTCTAATTTCATTTGGAATGGTTTTGATAATCCTAGTTATGACAGGTGAGACATTTTTGTAGCAGTGTTATAGTCATTAGGACTGAATAATTGTGAAAAATGACATTCTTGGGGGTTTAAGAGCTAGGCCATTAAACATGGTCCATGTGGGCAACAACAGAGAGCTGTTAAAATGCATTTTAAATTAATTGATTGTCATTTCTGTAACATTTAACAGCATTTCAATAAATCTGTTTAAAGTAGAGGGGAACTACTGGGAATGCTTCCCTCCGCCTTCTGCGAGCACTGAGAGGAATAACTCTCAATCAATAATAAAGAGCTCTTGCCAGCCAGTTATTATGGATGTGATATTGCTTGGTATTAAAGTTTAGGTGCGCTTTCAAAAGCCAGGGACCACTTTATGGACTACTACATTTCATGATCTTGTAGCTATGAGACCTTTCTGGTGAGATCCTTTATCTCCACAGTCAACAGTGGACTGCAGGCTCACTTCTAAGCTGACACCAGGAGCGGGCAGGTTAATTGTCCCATAAGCCACATATGCACCTTTACCATTTTGCATCTGCTTCCTTAATTCAAACTGATCTGCAATATTCTGAGATATATTGAACACTCTTTAGTGCTCCTAAGTGATGTACATGTTTGAACTAATTATTTCAGATGTGTATTTCTAATGAAGGTATATTTCCTGCCCCATATGAAGTGTACAACTGGTGTTGTATCAAACCAAGCTGCATCAGAAGTGTGTGAGAGTGTGTGTCTCTCTTTATATCTATATAGATATCTTTCTATATAGATATATCTATATCGAAATCTGGGGGGCCCTAGTCCTTCTCCATGCCTAGTCTATTTCATCTTTTAGCCATTTCCCTTTCACTGTGGTACAACTCCTCCCCCTACAAAGACAAGGCTGAACCCTATTTGTCCACCTGGCATCACAATAACCACCAGGTCAGATTTCCTGACCGTTACAGAGGGCTGTCCTCTTGCTTGTTAACTGGCCAATTAGCACTGAGAGCATGGGTATGGCTTTGTATAAAGCTGCAGAAGAAAATCAGAGGTAACTGAACACTCATACCTGTTGCATGGAGGCTATCATCACAATCCAGCCAGACATAAGCAGTTGAAGAGCACATAGAGCTAGACCTTATGAGAGTTGTGGCCCGAAGGCAGGGGGTGTGGCTTGGGGAGACTCCTGAGGGCCAGGTGGAGAGGTCTGGAGGGTCACATTCAGCCTTTGGCCTAAGGTTCCCCTCCCCTGAACATGCTGAAACATGGTGAGTAATTTGGTATGCCATCAGAGTACAAAGGGATGCTCCCAATGGGTAGGGAAAGCCCCATCTTAAGAACTCTTCAGCCAATCAAAAGTTTATTCCACTCCAATGAAGAAGTAGGCTTCGTTGGCATTCACTCCCTTCCATTCCACAAAGCAGATGTGGCCAAATCTGCCCACCCCTTTAGGGACATAGAAAATGATCTTGCCCCATGCCAGACCGTTAGTCCATCTGCCACTGTCTGCATTGCACTGCCTACACTGCTGGTAGCAGTTCTCCAGGGTTTCAGACAGGGTCTTTCCCAGGCCTACCTGACGACTTCAGGAACTGAACCTGGGATCTTTCTGCATGCCCTGCATGTGCTCTCCCAAGAGAGCTATTATTTGCTCCAGATTATGCCAATAGATCCCCGAGGTGACTTGCTCTGCACCTTACTGGCTCATGTCAGGACCCAGTGAAAACAGTTCTTCTAACGGAGAGAAACAGCCTCAGAAAAGAGAGGCTCCTCAGGAAGCTTGAAAAGGTTATGCGGCCCATTGACACCTATATTTTCAGCATGATGATTCTCCTAAGGTGGTATTAATTGGGTCCCCCCCCTTTCACCCTTCTAATTGAACGGTGGCTGCACCTCTGCTTCCACAGCCCCAGCAGCCAGGCCATTCTTGAAATTTATGGCGTTTTGCATGAAAAGTTGTACCCAGAGGCTGCTTTGACTTTATTTCTCTCCTCCTCTCTTCATTCCTAATTATGCCCTTTGGTTCTTGCCATTTGAACTATGTTCGACATAATGGCACTCGCTGATGTGACATTTTCAACATTTGCAAGAGGGGCTTTTAAGAAAAGAAGATGCCTTTGCCGAGAACGTGCTCTTGAATGTTTCATATCAAGGGCCTGAAATGTTTGTTGAAATTAGAAGTGGTTTGGGGCTCTCTCACACATCTGCAACATATGTTTGAAGCACATCTGCACCACTTTAACAGTCATAAAGGTAAAGGGACCCCTGACCATTAGGTCCAGTCGTGGCCGACTCTGGGGTTGCAGTGCTCATCTTGCTTTATTGGCCGAGGGAGCCGGCGTACAGCTTCCGGGTCATGTGGCCAGCATGACTAAGCCACTTCTGGCGAACCAGAGCAGCGCATGGAAACGCCGTTTACTTTCCCGCCGGAGCAGTACCTATTTATCTACTTGCACTTTGACGTACTTTCGAACTGCTAGGTTGGCAGGAGCAGGGACCAAGCAACAGGAGCTCACCCCGCCGCAGGGATTCAAACCACCAACCTTTTGATCGGCAAGTCCTAGGCTCTGTGGTTTAACCCACAGCGCCACCCGTGTCCCATTTAGCAGTCATAGCTTCCCCCAAAGAATTGTGGGAGCTGTAGTTTACCCTGCACAGAGCTACAATCCCCAGCACCCTTAACAAAGTGCAATTCCCAGGATACTTTAGGGAACGCCATGTGTTTTCCATGTATGGCATAGATGTGACCCATGATGGCCTTGCACTTGGGAGAAGGGCTATCCACACTCCATTCAGCAATGAAACCTTTGCTTCCACAGCAAAAGGGACTTTGCCTTTTCTGCCCCACCTTGATGTGTGGTCTTCCCATGCCCATGTGCATCACTGGGGGAAGGGAAGAAGGGTAGAGCAAGGCAAATAGGGAACAAAGCAGTAAACAAGGCATCCCATGAGCAGGAAGGACTGGATTCCTAGACCGGCTGCTAACCGGAGAGATGTGAGCAACAGAAGCTCAAAAGATGGGAGGCAGTGAGCTGCCATCCAGGGTCAAAGGCTAAGTTCAGAGCAGATACATGAAGAGAGAAAAGTGATAATGCAATATTCCACAGGACAAAGCCCTATATACAGGATATCAAAAAAGATTATCTCATCCCTTATATACCCAACCAATCATTGCATTTTGCATATACCATCTCATCAGAATGGTATAGGAATTGGGCCTTTAGAGTGGTGGCACCTACAGAACACCCTTCCATTACATATCAGACAGTTGTGGTTTTGGTGCCTATTGAAATACCTTCCTCCTCCATCAAGCTTTCTATGTGGAAATACTTATCCCAGTCAATTAGATTGAAATGGTTTGGTATTTTAAAAAATGTGTCCTTTTAATGCCTCCTGTGCTGCAGCAAATTCCTCTCAGAAACTCCCTTTTCTCTCTCATGAGGGAGTGTTATCTCCAGGCCTGCTCAGATCTCATCTCAGCTGCATTCTTTGGCTCCCAGGTTTGAAAAAGGTTGTAAGATCTCTGTTGTTTCTTTGTATAAAGGACTCATGGGCATTTCTTTATCTCCTCCACTAATTTGAGAGCTAGTAGCAGGCCAATAATTCCTCCCACAGCTAAGTTTTACAAGCAGCTGCCCAGAGCTCCAGGATTATGTGGCCATCTTCATGCCTTACTTAGCCAGCCACCCCACCCCCTCAATTTGAAATTGTTTGTTTGTTTGTGTGTGTGTGTGTGTGTGTGTGTGCTTGGTTTAGTTGTTTTCACATATGCAATCATATCTGTCATTGTTTTTTAGTATGTCTTTATTGTATTGTGAAATTGCTTTGAGATGCTTCAAAGGACATGATTCGTGTGTTATGCAATGAAATAATGAAGAGAGGCCACCTAGGAAGCACAGGAGAGGGATGGGGGAGCCTTTCACCGTCTTGTCTGATGTGCCAAAATACCCCAAAGGTGCTCTCAAAGGAGAGTGTATTCCTTTAGAAAAGCTTTCTTGAAATTCATCATAATGAATCTCTACAACAATCCCTGCTTTATTTTTTCTTCGTCCCTCAATGCTCCATCAATTTTGGCAACAATGGAGAGATGAGGGGAATAGGCACTGCTGTATTGCTGCAAACTTGTACATCCAACCCAGTGCCTTGATGAGGATGCAAATTGCCCCAACCCTGGTCATGAGGCTAATCAGGGAAGGGTGATAACTCTTCAGATCAGATGAGGAGGAGTTTGTGTGCCTCTCTGTGTGTCCAGTGTGCACGCACACATATGAGTGTGGGATGGCCACTCCCACTGC